TGTGTAGTATTTATTACTTTGATTCACATGGGAGGCTTAGTGAACTGGGCCAATAGACCCGCTGTCTTGGGTAATATTGGTACATGTAGGATGTGCTGTTAGGATATTTATGGTCACCATGTGCGTTAGTTTGATGATATCCCCGGAGTGAGTTCATGAAGAATTATTATGCTAAACCCTGCATGTGGATTAAATTCCAGCATAATAATAATGTGATGAACGAGCGCTAGCTTTGGTGAAATAATATTAAATTAATTAATTCTTGACTGTCAGTAATCGAATTAATTAATGGACATTATATCTTAAACATGGTGAGATAAATCGAGTAATTATTATTGGAGTCTCAATTGTAAATTGAGCTAAGAAAATAGAGTGCAATAATATTATGTTGGTGGCCCATTTAATATTATTTAATTAATTAAAATAAGTGGTTTGGTCCACAAGTATTTTAATTAATTAAGGAGCCCTAATCCTAATCTCCTAAGGATCCTATTGTAGCTCTATATATACATCATTAAGCTCATGAGAAGAGGAGAGAATTCCACATCTTGGAAATCACGCCCCACGCCTCTCTTCTCTCTCAGAGTTTCCATTCGAGCTTTATCTTCTTCTTGTTGTTCCACTGGTACAAGATTAAGAGGTGTTTGAGATGTACAGTAGAAGACCTTTGCGTAAAGTGAGACAAAATATATTTGGTCGTACAGAACTAACCGGAGGTCCGATCAAGACGTGCAACATACCCAGATGACCGTCTCGACGAGAGCTTTCCAACGCAGCTGAGACCGCAGCCGTTCAACCAGCCACGCACCCGCAGGCACCGCCACAAGGTCCCAGGACTGAAACTTGTCTTCATCCATTTTGCACTCATTTGATCCGGTTTTTGATCCGATCTTGTTCGTGCAATCCTAGGACGCGATTTGTAGTCAACAATTCATTGGTGTGCTATGTACGGCCATCTAGAAGATCAACCAGATCGCCATAAATTTTAAGTCGTAAGTTTTCTACGCAAACCTTTGCTATTGAATTCGTGATTTGTACATAAAGTGATCTTCATTGATCCCAACAAGTGGTATTAGAGCTTGGTTTAATTCGTTGTGTACAAGCTCGAATTTTTACGGTTTTATTTGTCAAGATGTGTTCAAACGCAGCCATATATTGGATTATATTCGCATAACTCAGTTTTGCAGGAATTAGTTTAATCCACTATTATGGCCGATTATGTGTTTGATGAATGGATGAATGTGATGTATGGTTCTAAATTTGTTTTTAAAGCCTTGGACATGTCAAGGAATTTGATGGATGAATGTTTGTAATAATTATTCGCCCGGGGATTTGACCGGATAGATTTAATTATTTTATTTAGAAAA